TATTTTTCGAAGTGAAATCACAGCCATAATCTTTATTACACTTGAAAATGTGTAACGTGAATAACCTCCGTTTGTGTAAATTTTTGTGGAGCTAACTAATTAGAATTACACAATGGTTGTTAGCGACCACCGGCCCGCTAGATCCCGTCGAGTCTTCTTAACATGCAAATTTATCCACTTCATCATTTAAGGGAAAATGAGAATAGAAAAGCTGATCGTCTTTCTCTATAGAATGTCTACGAAATAATAATTTAATTCAATAACTAAAACAGTTAAAGAGGATTTTCTAAATACATGAAGTATGCGCACTAGCTAGCAATAAGAGTGTGATGTTTGTTGATTCTATAACAATCAATGGCCCTTGCAATTTATTCGATCAGTACAGTGAACTCGCAGATATCTGTGATTAAATTTGTAGATTTTTATTTACACAAACATTGTTATTTAGTGGACGAATAACAATAGGTTAATCTTTAAAGGCGGCCACACACACAGAGGAAAGACTGCGCAGTTAAAAGTGTGCACGCTTGTCTTAAGTTAAACCCGTACTCTCTAATTGCACACACACACTCATCCTTCCCCGTCAGTTCTGTAGCAAATGTGCATCGCTATGGTGACGAACAAAAATGATTATTTCATTACAGTGGCGTGCATTTGTATTATATAAAAAAAACAATTGTAAAATAAGTCAGACGTCATTTAAAAATACGGCGCTAATGAATTAAAACTCAAGCGTGCAGCGACTTGTCTCCACACACACTGAGTTTTCCCCGCGCAGTTACAACTGTGCACGCTAACAACAGACTTGACTGCACATGCCACACTCTTCCCCACACACTAGGAGTTTTAACTGTACCCCGTGGCACGTACATTCAAGTCTTGACTCTTTCCTCTGCGTGTGTGGCTGCCTTTAGAATTTATCGTAATTTCTTTTGTATTTTAATATGGTGTAAAAAAAAAATTTCTCACGGTGTGCTAGAAAAACGATATTTTTATGAACATAAATTATGAACTGAATTATTCTTTTATTCTGTGATCGGTGAACGACTTTCTGCAGAATTAGTGAACTAATTAAATCCTAGGAACAATTTCTAAAACAAATAGATAGAATATTTGTTTTATTCATTAGAAATAGGGGTAGCAGAAATGGCGTAATTATTTAATGGGGTTGTTTTTTACGACCCGGATGTATGTTATTAGAACTGAACCGCCCTCGGTGGGTCCTCGTCGAGGTTTACGATTGTCGCTTTCGCAAAGTGTTTAGGGCGTGTTATTCGAGATTAAGTTTCTTTGACAAAGGACGTAAGGGTAAATGAATAATATGGTAATTTTCTATAGTTCACACCACAATCCTGCCCAAATGAGACCGCGATAATTCACTTAACAACAGTAATAATTTTGTTGCCTTCGTACTGTGGGCGCTCCTTAACCCTAAGAAAATTATCATCACTAACGCAAGCTTCAGAAATTCAAATTTCAATACGTTCTCATAATTAATTTCATTTTCGTTGTTTGGATTGGCGCTTAGAAAACTGTTGCTTTGAACACGTATTCTCGGAAATTAACGTCGAGTGGAAGAATGTTTTTTAAGGCTGGTAAACAATTTTTGTTGAGGCTGGAAACGACTGCACAATAAAAATTTGACAATGTATAATAGAGGTTTGAATTGTCGTTGGTTGCGGTTAAATGTAGAGGCAATTTATTAAATAGAGGCTACAATTCAAGAATACTGTTATTCGTCGAATGAGAGCGCGATAGACAAAGGAAAATAGAGTATAGTGCGGAGCAGAGGAGTTCATGAATAACACACTTTCGTTGAAATCCGCACGTCTCTCATGAATTCAATTTGTGTCCTCTTTGCTGGAGTGTTTCATCAATGCAATATTCATTGGAACACTTGAACAACGGTGCTTTTACACGGAAGCCAACTTGATCTTTCGACGATTTCATCCCGATGATAAACACAACACACAATAAACTTCAAAAACTAATATTTTTCTACTTCAGGAAGATATATAGGAAGGTAGATATTTTTGGGGAAGCGTCCGCAAATAAATGCAATTGCCAATTCCTTTTTCAAAACCACACGAAACATCAGTCGGACGGACAATACTTAATTAATAAAGAAATGAATGTTAAAAATCTATGTACGTATTGTACGTGTAGATTCATGTATTTATTGGATAAATGAAACATAACAACGCAGGCAGGGCTTTCTTAATCAGCGTCGCATTGCTGAAACGGATGCTAAGGGATATCGGATAATTAGACAATATTTAACATAAATTTATATCTTACCCGAAGGGCCATTATTCCTAATCTTGTTAAGCAAAATTCGTTTCTGAAGTCCCAAACCGTCTCGAATTCATTACGCAGGATATAAAAGCCATTAACCAATTTAAGCGAGTTAGAATGTGAAATGACCATCTGCCTCTTAGTTAACATGTTTATAGATAATATATGGTATGTACATATGTACTAACGTAGCTACAAATAGTCAATTGCCTTCATTAAATAATTATATTAGCTGTGATGACAGATGGTCAGTTCAGTTCATTTATTCTAATTATTTAATTAGAATGGGTATCCACCTGAACATGGAACAGCCAATTTTTATAGCATCGATCATTGAGGTGGAATCCAGCGGTTTATTAGATGTGGCACTAAAATTCTATTTTCGCAACGATCGACACTCCGAATATCGTAATAAACACTTCGACCTCAAAAAACTTGTGTCGATAGCAATTATAAAGTTGAAAAAGTGTTACGTGGAATTATCAATATTATCGAGAACCTCGAAAACTGCAACGAATGCTTTCTAACTCTCAGAGCTAAATCTACATACGGCTCTTAGGATATAATATACATAGAACTATAGCAACGGCTATATCTTTATAAGTAAATCCTGTTATCAAATGGATTATAAAATTATACGTTCCTAACGTTGTCCACTATAAGGAAAATTGTAATATTAGACATTATCATAGGGAATGGAAGTATTGAAATAAACGTTTCATTATTAGTTATTGTGATAATTGTTTTGCGAAGCGTTATTTTATTGTTAAACGTAGCCAAAGAACCCAACTTTGAGATCATATATCCGCCAAAATGCGAGAAGGACTGTTTTCAATATTTTTCTTGTACTTGATGATAGATATCTCTTGATAATGTACCCTCAAGGGATGCATACAATCATCAATAATAACGTATGAGTTATTTAACAAACTAATCAAGACGCACGTACAGATTTTTAACGGGATTTCTTACAATACATTTTATGTAACTATCTACTATATACGCATTATGTCGTACAATTTAATGAATAATTTTCGTTGGTTAGTTTTTTCACCCCAAGAAAAAACCTCCACACCCGGAGGGCATTATTTTACTGTTTGCGTTTTTCCCGCAATTTTGTGAACGGTAAAGATTTAAGTCATCTGCGTATTTTCATTATTCATTAAATTTTGCATGGAGATATATGTTTAACTTCCCTTTTAATTTAAATGTAAATTTATTCGCTGAACAAAAGTTAACTAACAAGTATGAAACCAAAAGCGAGGTGACATATTTATTACAAAAAAGTACCTTTTTACGAAGCGGGAAAGAGAAATTTATATTTACATATGCATTTGGTAATGAAACGTTTTACTTTTGTGAGTGTGAGTTATTTTCTTTCTTCCGAAGCAGTACTTTAATTTCCGATTTCATTATGGTTCTCAGAGTGTGAAAACTACATAGTAGTAGTACCCGTAATGATAAAACTTTTGTCTGAATGCTGGTTATTTCGGGGTCAGTGGTCGGTGCTAATAATAATACACGGTGAGTCACTTAACGCGCGTTCCTCGATGTCTTATTAATTATTATTATTAGAAATATAAAAAAAGTCAAAGACCAAAGTTGTACGGTCCTTTGAAAACTGTACCCCAAAATTCGAATAACGTGGCAGCGTCGCATTGGAATTTCAAAAATAAACTGGTCATAAAGACTAATGAGAATATGTAAATATACTGCCCGTCAAAATTAACGCAAAATTTTAAAATTTTATTTTGAACATGGCGTTTCAAAAATTTAAAAACAATTCAAAGAACGATTTATCACAAAAACTAAGAATACGTAAAAAGAACGGCAAAACACATGTCTCCCTGTTTTTATGAAAAAATGTTTTTCTTTTGTTCAAAAAGTAAAGTATCAAAAAAATAGAATTTTAAAATTTTGCGTTCATTTTGCGGGGCAGTTTATATAGAGGGTATTTTATTTAAAAGAAACTAAGTATAACGTTTTAACAATAGAACATAATGTAGGTATAGTTAAAAATATTTTTAGAATCCTCAAAGAACCGTACGACTTTTTGTTTCTCTAATAATAAGTAATGAGATGTAGAGGACCGCCGCTTAGTGACTTACCCTGAGTATGTTGTACGTTTTGTAATTTTTTTATAGTCACCCCATATGAGAGTAGAACATGCGGTATGCGATATACGGGTAGATTTAGCTGAGTGAACATTTTTTGCGATTTATATGAAGTTTTGCAGAATATCTATCTACAAATGAACATGTCACGTTCGGTCTGTATATTACATCTCCCCGGATTCTGGTCTACAACGCATATGTTGCGTTAATCTATAAATCAGCTTTAATATACATAAACCCATCTAAACCCGACAGAATTGAGAATTCATGGTATACAGCAACTATTACGATTAAAATTAAGCTATGATTTAGATATAACTTGCAAAACCACAAATGGTCCCTTATTTTTTATACCACAACTTAGCATGTTCGTTACTCAAATGCATAAACCTAACCAAAAATAAAATACTTAGTAATTAACCTGTACGCACGATTCTGAATTATGGGTTGCATGCTCCTCCATCAGAAGTTTAATGGTTATACTAGAAAACAAAAATAAAACAAACAAAAAAAAGATACAGCAAACTGCAAAAGCATCGACGACGACTCCTCATCTGCCTGCGTCTTTATAGATTTTTTTCTGTGTCGTAGATAAGTAACAACTGGATAATGGGCCCCGAACTGTGCGATATGTGGACTTCCATTGACGTTCTCTGTTGTACGGCGTCGATTTTGCATCTGGTTGCGATCGCAGTAGACAGGTGAGTGGAACAGTAGCATTTAAACAAAAATAAAATTCAAAGAACGATTCCGTCTTCCTTGATCCGTAAAATTCTTTTCTTCCGGCATTGCTCACGGTCGCCCGAACGTCTCTGAATATTTACTTGCACCGTTTATATTCCAGATACTGGGCCGTAACGAACGTGGATTACATCCATACAAGAAATAGCCACCGGATCGGGATCATGATCGTGGTTGTTTGGAGTATTGCTTTGGTGGTTTCGCTCGCCCCACAAATCCCGCAGTTTAAAGACCCCGAATACTTGTACCGTATACAAGTGAAAAAGCAATGCTTAGTTAGTCAAGACGTAAAGTATCAGATATTCGCCACAAGCTCGACGTTTTACGTTCCTCTCTTAGTAATTTTCGTTTTGTATTGGAAGATCTTTCAGACGGCGCGTAAACGCATTCGCAGGCGTAGAGAAATGAAGGGCCAAGTTGTTCTTAAGGTTGAAAAAACTAACAACAACAGTAAGGTATCGAAGAATTTCTTAACGAAAAGGAAATTCTTGAAGATGAAAAGATGTTCCACTAAAAAGTCTTCCGCGGCTGAGGCGCTAGTCTCTTCGCTGGTGATGATGGAAGGCCAGTCGACTACCACAATGGAAATCGTAGAGGAGCAGGACGAGCTTCAGAGTAACGGAAAGCAAGAGGAAACGACGGCTTTCACCATAACGAAACCGCAAACATCGACGGTCCAAAGTAACGCGGAGGTTCCTTTAGTCTCCAACAACGTCTCTCCGGAGAAGTCATCATCGGCCACCACCAACAACGGTTCTGCAAGCCACCAGAGCCACATCAGCGATATTAGTAGGGTAGAAATTTTAACCAAGGAGATTCCTCCGTGTCCGGCGTCCGTAGACAAGTTGATACCGTCCAGGAGGGAAAAGAAAGAGAGCTTAGAAGCGAAGCGCGAGCGGAAAGCTGCAAAAACACTGGCTATTATTACAGGGGCGTTTGTGATGTGCTGGTTGCCATTTTTTATTTTAGCCTTGCTTATGCCTCTCTGCGGAGACGCTTGTACTATCAGCGACTACATCATGAGTTTCGCCTTGTGGTTGGGGTACTTTAACTCGACGTTGAATCCGGTCATTTACACCATCTTCAACCCGGAGTTTCGACAAGCCTTCAAAAGGATCCTGTGTGGCGGACACACGAGGGGTCGGAATTTTCGCTCGGGAAAAATTAGATAAAAATTGAGTTCCTGTTGGCTGGCGCAGGATTTTTGGTGTATACAGAACTGGCTCTAACACGATGAATCGACGAACCACTTTTTAAGTACACGTAAGTAGTAAGTACAAATTCGTAGTGGATCTTCAAACGATGTACTTTGTGGGATTAAGAAAAAATAGATCCATACAAAAAAATGTGATATCGTTTCATGGTTATTTCTAATACCAAGAGAACAAAAAAAAAAGACTGTTAAAGGCAGCCGTGGATTTTTCACTATTTGTTTCGGAAATTTGAATTGAAAATTATCAAAGACAAACTTTCAAAAATCCATACCTTTTGGATAGTGGTTTTTTATTGACCTCTCGGTATTTCTGCTTCTACCTTAGAGACGTTGAGCTTCTGGTTTGGTCTATGCTTAATTTTAAGGAATTTGTTTCTATTTTTTCAAAAGTTCAGTAGAAAAATTTGTTATTTATTCCAAAGCTTTTTGTTACTTTATGATTTTTGGATATCTGCAGTAACCAGTTTTTGTTTGCCAAATAAAACTAGAATTAATTTTATGCATCCACTACTTGCATAATTCGCGTTAACCATTCATTAAATAATGCAGAAATTGATTGAAACATCGATTGATTGAAGTTAACGCAAAATTAGCCTTTGATGATAAGAATATGGAAAGCCTGTGATGAAATTTGTGACAGTAGTGTGGCGTGTCCTGCATCATGAGAACTAAACTGTGACAGAATTTAGAATGTCTAATAAGTACGATTTAACGGATCATATGCAATATTTTTTAATTTCGCAAGAAATATTGCGCACATTTTTATGGAACTTACCTTAGCTAACGTACCTTAGCTTATATGTATATATGACAGTACATGTGAAGGTGATCAAAATCGAATTAAATTGATTCGTCGATCCGTCGTGACCGAGCTTATGAGTCTTCCATTTACGTTAATCAAAATAGTTCTTCGTTTCGATGATGGCTGTGTGAGAATTGGACGAAATGCATTTTTCTCGTACATATCCTATAATATTTCAGAGCATTCCAAAAGAGGGAAAATATTTAGCATACCAGACATTCTGCGCTCGGTATTAGGTTTCTTTGACGTACAGTATTCCTATCATGTATATACATACATAAAAGTAATGATTGTTATGTACTAAGGTAGAACATGCAATATTGTTCCCAATGACGCTACAATGTCTTTCTATATAATAGTCGTCGACAGATGGGGCGTCTTATAGAGAGCATCGAAACTGAACCTAGTTAAAGACGCCTCTAGAATATATCATCAGGTAGATATTTAATTCGACATTTCAGCTTTTATTTAAACTTGCTGTGCGCTTACGTGTAATATATGCGTCATCAAACTCTTCGGAGAAACGGGATAAGTATTTTAATATTGTCGTTGTTTGTATCTATGTACATACGTTTTGGAAATGTCATTTTAAACAACTGTATCTAGATGTAAAGTATACTTCACCACCGACTCCGGCTGAGGCGCAATCTTTCCCCATAAACGTACCAATTAAGCAAAGAAATTTGGATAAGAGAAGAGGAAATGGAGCTATGTTTATTGGACGCTCGGTAGGGGCGCCGTTGACCGTAAAATTGGATAAATTAGGCAGTTTGGCCCGGAGGAATTGCCAAAAGATTGTGCTAAAATCGGGCAGATTTCGGTCGTGCCGTGTACGATCTATTTTGTATTTTTATATCGAATCAAACGACTAATAAATAAATCGCTGTGTTGCAGGTGTAACATTATCAATAACTCTGTAACCATGGCCGTTATTTACGAGACTAATGGGTATGGTTGGCAGATGATGAATTGGGCTTCTGATATGTATACGATATATAATTGAGCCTGTATATCTGTATATTGCAGGAAGCAAACACACAATTTAAGCGAATCGCAGGGTGCGCATTTCTGTGTAAAATAACGTTCGTATCAAATGCATTAATGTACTTACATAATAATCGTTATAGTAGATATATGCTGTAAATATTCCACCTATATCAGACTAGCGAGAATACCGTAGAAATAAATACAAATAACATTACTACGTGTTGTAGCTGCTTAGATATCTGTAAATTGCTTTGACTATTATAAATAACTGAACTCATATTGTGATAATATGCGTTGCTATATTAAGGTTTTAACAAATTATTTATTATTTTAGATGTTATGTACATAAAGATAATACGCCCATGCCCATTTTTATTTATACAACTATTATGTAAATATTACAAACATTATTGTTCATCAAACTGTGTTAAAATGTATATTAAAAATAAATTAAACTTGTTTAAGAACGGTCGCCCTTCTTCAAAACCCTAAACAGACATAATATTGTTCTTCGAGGCAATGGCTCGGATAAAATTTGTCACATTGTTCATCTTGCGTCTCATTTAGATAACACTATGCAGTGATCATCGTGTTTCAAAGACCAAGGGTGTACGCAGTGAACAGACTTCTGTTCTCAGTTTATAACTAACCAGTGAGCAAACTAGTTTCTGAAAGTGACCTTATTTAACGAAAAAGCAAAATTACGCAATTATATATAAAAGCAAATGAAATACTCAGTGAAAGAAAATTCCCTAGGTATCGTAGTTTGTACCGTTTAAAAGTTATTCTTTGTCTCCTGTAGGTTACTTGAAAATACGATAGATAAATTTTGTTAAGTAATACATTATGTGTTTTTATAAAAAAAATGCTCCGATAAAATTTGACTTATTAGTCACGTTACATCCTACACGAAGTAACGATGTGACCGTTACGTCACATACAACAAACATTTTTATAGATAAGATTCATGCAATCTGTGATTAAATTACGACAACACGAACACTTTGACAGATTTGTAAGCAGAACGGAATAATAACGTGCTCCGCTCCAAAAGACATACTTAATGAAATTATTGTTATTTATTTGGTTAATATTTATTTTCGATAAAATCGAAACTTCTAAAATATTAGTGGTGGCTCCGATGCCTACGCATAGCCACTTTACCGTAGCCTTCAGGCTTGCCAAAGAACTAGCCGATAGAGGTCATGTTGTCACCGCTATAACCCCTTACCCCCAAAAGATACCCATCAAAAATTATAAAGATGTTCCAGTGATAGAAAACATTGAAGTCATGGCAGGTATGGATTTTATTTCCCTTTTCGCCAGAGCAATCGTACGAATAATTTTGATACCTCGATTTTCTCGTCTCCCCCCACACCATTAGGAATGCTGCTGGTGATAGTTTAGTTCAATAATTGTTTAAATTGTTCATTTATTCTTTTAGCAAACGACAAGAGGACGTTTAAATACAATAATCTAATTTGAATTTAACGTATGTTTTATGTGCTGCGTAGAAGAAAAGAAGGCATTTTTTGAAAAGAACAAGCGTAAAATGACCGAAAATATTATGTCGTTGTTCAAAATGACGTTCCTATTAACTCAGTCCACACTAGCAAACGGAAATGTACGAACACTGATGAATTCTAAAGAGCATTTCGATGTAATAATCGTGGAGCACTTCTTAAACGAAGCGATCGTGGGACTTGGGCATCACTTCAAAGCGCCCGTGATACTCTTATCCTCTGTTATTTCGAGTGTAATGAATAACTACATCTTCGCCAACCCCGCTCCGGTGTCATATGTTCCCAGTAAAGGAGGCATGCTCACGAAACACATGAGCTTCTGGCAGCGAGTCCAAAACTTATTTATGACCGGCATTTTTAATCTCATAATGGAATTTCATCATTTACCCAGTCAACGTGAAATTTTTAAGAAATACGTCAGCGCCGGTGTTGAGCTGGATGATGTTCTGTACAACGTCAGTTTGATGCTTACAAATTCCCACGTTAGCGTATCTGACGCCGTTCCTCTTGTGCCAGGCATAAAGGAAATTGGGGGTTATCACATCATGCCGCCTCAAAAATTACCTGATGATTTACAAAATTACCTCGATAACGCCCACGACGGCTTCATACTTTTCTCAATGGGTTCAACACTACAAAGTAAAGACCTAAAACCGTGGATGATCGATGCCATCCTTAGAGCTTTTGCAAAAATCAAACAGAAAATCTTGTGGAAATTTGAAGAGGATTTGAATCAACTACCGGAAAACGTTAAAGTAATGAAGTGGGTGCCGCAACAGGACGTTTTAGGTAAGGGCGAGACTTGGTTGCCTTAACGAAACCTGAAAATCCACCGTGGTCGTGTAGGTTAGAAGTTTCTTAAATCTTATGATTGTTTCAAATTTTAAAATTTCTGATACATTTAGGAATACGTCATTCACAATTCAACTCTGAAACTTCATTGAAGAATGCGTTCTAACATGCCAGCCAAATTGATTATGTTTTGAAGTTCTGTTTAAATAAATCTGGAATGTTTTTTACTACCCGAGCGTACCTCTAGAGTACGAAGAAATAGGTCTCCCGTTTCTGTCTGCCTGTTCGTCTGTCTGTCTATCTGTCCGTCTGTCAGCCGTCCAGGATTTTTATTACACAGATAATCTCCGAATTGGGTCGATTGTTGTCAAATTTTGAATATTAGGAATGTCATGTAGATGGTAAAACGCTAACCAAAATTCGTCTAACCATCCCTACCAATAATGTGATGACGTCATTTCAAAATTCTACATAGTAAATGTGTTTTAAATTGTATAAAATAACATAGTCCTATACATGTAGTTTATTACTCCGTGTCGAGTTTTTACCCGAAACGGCCAGATTTTTCGAAATTTATGAAGCAACATTATGCAATTTAATTTTGAATTTGCAAAACCGAATGGTTTTTATTTTTTAGTTTTGCATATACAGGTGACCCAAAAAAATAAATGAATCAGTTAATTTATTTTATTAAATAAATCAAGAATTGCAAAACTGAATACTTTGAAATTTTCTAGACATTTTAAAGTTATTGCAAGCATAGTAAATTGGTAATCAAAATATATCTATATCTGTTTATTCCCCCCCCCCAAAAATTGATGACGCCATGTCAAAATTTTGCCGAACAAATTCCACTCAAAATGTGGAAAATATGATTACTTTTTACTTGTGATTTATCAATGCATTCGTATTTTTTAGGTTTGCTTTTAAACAGGTGGCTCAAAAAAACGAGTCAATTTAATTTTATTGATTAAATCAAGAACAGTTCACTCCTTTTTCACAGAAAATTTTGGGAATAAAATACTGCTATTTTAGTATTACACTGCACCAATCCAAACTCATATAGGTGTCCTTACAAAAATGTTGATGACATAATCACAAAATTGTGTAAAGAAAAAACTCAACTCGAAAATGCTGGATATGTTTCATTGTACTTTAGGTGCGAGGGAAGTTCTCTCAAAACAATTTTCGACCAGATGGTACGTGTATTTTTCTAACTATTATTAATTGTTTAAAGCTCATCCAAATGTTCGAGCATTCATAACACACGGAGGGTTTTTAAGCTGCACGGAAAGCGTGTATTATGGAGTGCCCATAATTGGTATTCCAGTGTTTGGGGACCAAAAATATAACATCGCAGCAGCTGTCAGTAATGGTTATGCCGTCAAGATAGATGTAAGCGAACTGAGAGAGCAAAAACTCACTTGGGCCTTAAACGAGGTTTTAAATAATGCCAGGTAAGTTTGTACAATCGTGCAACTTTGCAATAATAACGTTCTGTTATGTCTCCAAATGTGCAGATATCGAGAAAACTCACAGAGACGTTCAAGATTAATGCACGATCAACCCTTAAAACCAATCGATGCGGCTGTCTACTGGGTGGAGCATGTAATTCGTCATAGAGGAACACCTCATTTCAAATCTGCCGGATTAAATGTGAAATGGTACCAAAGAGAAATGGTGGATATTTTTCTTTTTCTTCATGTAATGGTTACTGTTATGCTGTTGGTGTTTTATACAACCGTTAAAAATGTATTAAATTTGATTGACAAGAAAAAAGCCAATGCGGTAGTACGGAAGAACAATGAATAGATGTCAGACGGATATTAACCTAACAATGTTTTTTTGCCACGTATCTATATGGGGCGTTGAAATTCATGGTCACTATAAAACAATTGTTCGAAAAGCGTAACGCCCACATATTTTAAAAAGAGGTATTTCGTATGCGTTCTGGTATTTGCAAGACTAAACACCGACATGCATATTTTGTATTAATAAAAAATTTCAACCGAAATATATGTAGAACAGTTTGATGGAGATCTGTCTTGACGCTTCGTTTTGAGTGTAACTTTTGAAACTGCAGAGAGAAATTACAAATTTCCCTCATCTGACAGCCAAAGTATCTACATGCTGTGTTTTCCCTCATCTTCTTTATTTTTTTAAAAACTAATAAACATTAACAATGTATCCATAAACCGCAATTAATTTAATTCTAAGATTAAATTGATGGCGTTGTTAACTTATTAAGGGATTAAACAATTTTTGATAAATCAGTCCTTTGTGATCCAACTGGCAATTGTGGACATGCGTATTGTTTTTAGTAGATATTGATAAATTAAGATAACATGTGTCAGATACTGTTACGTTTAAGCACGTGGCAAATACTCATAAATTGGTCGTACTAAGTGGATTAAAATGAAAATAGAGTTGTTCAGTAGAATAATTTTGATCACCGTTCTGGAAATTGGTGCCGAAAGTGCTAACATCCTCGTTGTAAATTCTATGCCGTCATACAGCCATTTCATCATTCCATTCAAATTGACCAAAGAGCTAGCCAGCAGAGGACATCACGTCACATCCATTAATGCGTATCCACAACGAACAAAATTGCCAAACTATACTGATGTTCCAGTAGTGGAAAATATTCCTTTGATAGAAGGTTGTTTTTATAATTATTGATTTGTTTTTATAATAGAATTAATAGATATACAAATTTTCAGAAATGAAGCAAAAAATGTTTGCCAGAGGATCGAACGGTATGTTTGAGAACCTTTTTAGTTTGTTTGACATGACTGCTGTGATTACTAATAGTACCCTATATAATAAAAATGTCCAGAAACTTTTGAACTCCGATAAAAAATTTGACTTAGTTATAATAGAACATTTTTTCAATGACGCTTTTGTCGGTTTTGGTCACCACTTTAATGCACCCGTCATTTTCGTAAGCACGCAGGCCGCAAGCGCAATGAATGGATACGTTTTTGCCAACCCCTTACCCTTTTCGTATGTTTCGGGTAATGGAGGGACTTTAACAAAACATATGAATTTTTGGCAAAGAATACAAAATCTGCTGATGCATTCGGTGTTTAACACCTTGATCCATTTTTATCATCTACCTAAACAAAGCAACATTTTTAAAAGCTACGTACAAGACGCGGAAATGGTTCAAGTCCTTTATAACACAAGTTTGATGCTAACGAATTCACATGTGAGTGTTTCTGGTGCAATCCCGTTAGTACCCAGCATTATAGAAATAGGAGGTCTTCACGTAACCACGAAACGCTTACCAGACGACTTACAAACTTTTCTTGATAATGCTGTAGAAGGTGTTATCGTCTTTTCTATGGGATCCAACTTAAAATGTGAGGACTTGAAACTCGAAACGAGAGAAAGTATCTTGAAAGCCTTCTCCAAAATTAAGCAGAAAGTTTTATGGAAATATGAATCGAACCTACCCGATACTCCTGAAAATGTAAAGATATCTCCATGGTTGCCGCAGCAGGATGTTTTAGGTGAGCATAAAGAATGATTTTACAATTACATAAGAAAAAAATTGTAGCGCATCCAAATGTTAAAGTTTTTGTTACTCACGGAGGTCGGTTGAGTACTATTGAAGCTATTTATTTCGGAGTGCCACTTGTTGGTATTCCTGTTTTTGGGGACCAGCTGAGTAACATTGCGACAGCAGCGGCTGATGGGTACGCTGTTAAGATTAACTTGGAGGAATTATCTGAGCAAACTTTGTCTTCGGCTCTGAATGAAGTATTAACAAATCCAAGGTAAATATTGTACATGTATGTACATATATACCATTTATAATCACGTTATTTATTATTTATTAAAAAAAATGGAGACGAAGTTGTCCTTACTTTTTTAGTGCTTTGCACGTCAAAAGTACGTCGAGAGTGGGGTCATGGCAATCTTCAATCGGAATAAAAGCATGGCGGCCGAATTTCAAAACATTTTCACATATTCGCTAATTAAGTCGTTGGAACCTATAATACTCGAAATCATTAATGCTAACACAATGAAAGTGTTTGAGGTTGTTAAAACAACAGATTGTTCCACAAAATTATATTTTATTATAATTATTCTAACATTGTGTACATTCTATTTTAAATCTATTTTTAATCATTGCATAAACATAGACAATACAAAATATCGTTGTCAAAATTTATTTGGAATCACTACTAGACAAAGGTTGCACTGCAGTGATTTCAGAAATCACTTCTTGTTCTTCATTTTCAGAAGCTTCGTTTTCGCTTAATTTATGTATTCATAATCGCCCTCTTCGGAGGAAGAGCCAGTGTATCGTCCAAAATATGTTCCTTTTCAATGTAGTCATTTTCCACTTTTTTGCATGGTTGCATACATTTTTTTATTTGTTAACAATTATTTAATATTGTACATGAGATAATATTATTTAAAAACTTAATTTGTAGTCATTTGAATCTGGTGGGAAGCTTCACCTTATCTTATAAGCGCATTTCTGCGCCCATTCCAAACTTTCCTTATCGATGTACTTTTCAAAATGCAAGAAGCTCTAAGACAAAGCATTTATGGGAAGTAAAATATGTTGCATATTCATAAATATCCAGGCGTGAACAGATAAAAAATAATCACCTGTACCGTACTAAAACGGTAAAAATATAGAGACTTTTGCGTCTACAAATGCAGTTATGATGTATAAGCGTAACGTCCGGTAGGTATATCTGAAAAAAAAAATTATATCTCTATAAATCGCAATTTTTTGTTTTTTGAAAAACTCACGTGTAGTGCGTGATCTTCCGCACACAGATCGTTTAAATTCCCAATGATGAACGTTGACTTCTCGTAACGTCTTTCTTTTATAGATATAAAGAAGCAGCTCAGGAAAGATCAAACTTGCTGCACGACCAACTTTTAACACCTATGGAATCTGCAATCTTTTGGGTCGAACATGTGATTCGCCATCGCGGAGCTCCCCACTTAAAAACAGCAGGAGTCGATTTGAAATGGTACCAGAGAGAAATGGTAGACGTCATTGTTTTCTTACTAGCAGTTGTGACCATAATGGTATTTGTAATTTGCATTGTACTTAAGAAATTATGGTATATTTTAAACCATAGTGAAAACGTCACTACTCCAAAGAAGAAAATTCAGTAGGTACCTAGTTTGATTAAAAAAATGCAGAAACTCTTATTATAATGGTGCAGGTGGTTGTACATGCATGTCGAAAACTCAAACTTTTCACTTTTAATTTAAGTTGGTATTATTTGTGAGACAAAGGTTAGTCGCTGCGATATAGATATAATGAAGCAGTTGTGTCGTTGTATATACAGGGTTAGTCACGAGAGAATTACTTCTGAAAATTATTTTTACGCAACCCAAAATACGAATACCATGTACCATTTGATACTAACTGAATTTAAAATGAAATGCTTAATCCATGATTGCTTTGAGTTTGGCAATCTCATTTTGACAATTGTGGAAAAGGAGGTTACGCGAGTGTCCATGGTGGTACCGCAGCCAGTCGGAAATCTCCTCCGGCGCCGCTAATAAATTTGTCAGTGTGCCTCTTGATCTTTTGCAACCGATTAATCAAGAGAAAATTATTTCTAAAAATTCCTTTTACGGCATTTTATTCAAAGGTTACAACACAAACTCAAACAAGTAAGTAAATAATTTAACTACTAATCTGTTGAAAATGTTGGGCATTTTGGGGAGATGCTACGGCTTTTTTGTAAATGGATGGCCGAAGAAGTCCAGGGGTTGCGGATTTGCACTTCGAAGAGGCTCTAGGTGACGCAGAGATGGCGAATTAACACATGCACATTAGCGGCGAACAACATTAGCAAGCACTTACGGCTTCAGTATAGCCCAGATTGATCTGACTGTATGTCGTCGATCCAATGGGGCTCTAGAGGCGAGTCAACGATGAAAAAAAATGTTAAAAACGTCGTCTTCGTTGATTCACTATTAAAGTCTCTCCAATTGGTTACAATCGTCCGACTTGTCAAAAGGGAAAATATCAAAAGATGTCAGTCCCTTCGGGAGTTACAGGAACCTGTAATTAATCCGTTTTGTTATGCGCCAAAACAGTTTGTGCTTGAATTGATATTATCAAAATGTCCAAAAAATATTCCTCTGTGCCTGCTTGTGGGGTAATCAAGGATCCTAGAGACCACAAAATAATGCACAGATTCCCTTCAAACACTGTGAACTTTTAAAAGGTTGTGGTGCAAAAAGGTTTTTAATGCTACGAGTAGGTACCCCGACATGAATCTTTTACCTAAGGGAATGTATAGCCATTAAAACCATTTCAGGTGATAATATTGCAAATAATTTATACATTTGTGGTAAACACTTTGAGCAGGGGCGGCTCATGACTTGAAAAGTTGATGAGGCAAAGCACAATACGCTCCAAAATATAAATAAATCAAGATTACTTAAATATTTTCTACTTAGTCAAATAAACAAATTTGTAAACTCATTTAACTGTCCAGCAAGAACCAACGTGAATGTGTAAGGAACTCTTGTAAGGAAAGGATGGGAATAACAGGACAAAAGGAAAGGGAAACGTGGTCAGAAAAAACTAATATAACTTAAAAAAAAACAAAATTAAAATAAACTTTAAAGAAAACATATCGAAAAAAATCAAATACAACATAAAATAAACCTATTTGATTTATAACAAAAAACAAAACGAAAAACATTAAAACATAAATACTCTGGATTTATTTTAAACGTTTTTATAGATCAATAATTAACGATTTACTCAAATCAGGAACCGGCCGTTTTAATTCCTTAACTGCATACAATTTATCATCATACGTGAAAGTAGAAAAAACAGAACTGCTATTGTCATTTAACGTTAGTAGAGAAAAATTCCGATTTACTCGTAATCTTAAATAACGATTACCGAAATCAAATTATGACAAGCACAAAGCACTAACGCGACACACACAAACGTAGGCACTTTTAAGACAAAATTCTGTTACAGAAATTTTGAATCAATTTATACACACACAGATTTGTGGCAAAACAATCAACGGCCTAATTTTGAATACTTCTGCAAATGCAGACTGCATTGTAATCGCACGTTCTCCGCGCGCAAATATTGTTGTCCATCTCTTTTGCAAACACGGAAATGAGGCTAGCCTCAATTTTGTCTTTTTTCAACTCATACCGCTTATGAGTGTATTGCAGGTTGCTTGCCTATTAACGATATGATTTCTATATCCGCTGTAGAGGCAAGCTCCGAGTTTGCCTCATTCGCGTCACAAAATACATGTTGTGTCGAGTGTTTCAGCGCGCTGTTTAATTAAGGGAGCAACGAGTACCTACTGAGATAAAAATAAGAATATAATTTTCCATATTTATTTTTAAAATTTTAGAAAAAAGACACAAATTATTGGCCGAAATGTGTCGTTAAAAAATAGTAAAAATCCTAATAAGGCGTAAAATTCATTGGTGAGGCACTGCCTCACCTGCCTCATAGGACAAGCCGCCCCTGACTTTGAGAGAAGTTGTTATTATACAAATAAAAGACTTAAACCCGGCTCTGTTCCTACTTTGTTCCCCCATGGTTCCAAGTCACCGCTACCTGTTCCTACTTCTTCAAGCTCCCTAGCAAGTACTAAACGTGATCCAGAATGCAGCTTCATAATTTCTGAGACACATTCCGATAACAATGTAAACACCTCAAAGAAAAACTTTCCTACTGCATATCCCTTTGCAGACCATCCACGCCCATGGCGTTGTGACTTTGGCACCGGTACCGAAATTTTGCCTCTTTTTCAAGTAAAAACTGAAATACATGATGTCAAATTATGTCAAAAAGTCAGACCACAACAGACATTTAGCCGACATTACAGATTCCTTTCCCTCCCGACGTATGCGCCCTCACATGTCACATTTAAGGGATTGGAGAGACTTTAATAGTGAATCAACAAGACGACGGTTAAAAATTAATTAACGTCAAAGTGACACTGTCAAAGTCAAAGCAATCATGGATTAGGCATTTTATTTTAAATTTAGATAATATCAAGTGGTACAGGGTATTAGTATTTTGGGTTGCGTAAAAATAATTTTCAGAAGTAATTCTCTCGTGACTAACCCTGTATATATATATATCTATATACCTATTTATCGTTCTCATTCAACTCTTAAACCAACAGGATGACTTCCATTTTGTAGGTGTGTACTTGCTGTCATACCTCCATCGTTAAAGGCTTCAAACAAACCTTGCTAGATATTGCACTTTAGATATATTTATATAGGTATATTGTATATTTCTATTTGCAAAAATAGGTTTTAATGCTTCGACACATTTCTTGCCATTGTTTTAGAATTGTGTTTTTTTTTTAGAATTTTAGATCATCATTGTTAATTCTAGTTTAAATTAAAAAATAAATGTTAGTAAAATTTTAACACGTAAAAAATAGAAGTTCTTATAACCTCAATCCCCATTGTTGTGTTTCCAGAACGCTAATTTTGATCCCTCCCCCGCATACCAAATATTGTCTTAGTTATACCTAGATATAAGGTAAAGGCACCAGTGATCTACACTATTAGACCAACATAAACAAAAAAATGTCAAAATTGGAGATTTACGGTCAAGTAACTTGGAAAATTATTTTAGAGATTCAATGATTCTTTCTCTTCATTCCTATAGTAACAAATGAGGATTTGTTTGTGTAGTTTTGAAATTTGGAATTTTTTAAACAACTGTTCCAAATCCCCAGTAATCGACGCAGGAATTTTTTTATTTTCCAGTAATCGACACCCCAATAATTGACATGACTCAAGAGATTTGTTTCGAATAAAAGTAAACAGAATGATAAAAAAAATAAAGTTTATTTGTCATATAAGAACATAACGTAAAATTATATCAATGAACAAAAAATATATATATTCTATAAAATTAACAGCTTAACAATCAGTCTCCATTCGGTTTTAATCAGTCTTAATATTTTTGTTAATCAATTCAAACCGAAAAATCTCTATATTTTGGCATTTCCGGCACAGAATATATTCCACGTGAATTTTTTTTCTTTGGTGCTTGAATTATTTCTATTATTTCTTCTTCTGTATAATCGATTTCGTCCTTTTGTTCTGGCCATTTCCAGTCACATAAACCACTTTGTGTCATGGTAGAAAATAAAATATCCGTCTGTGTCCAGTTTTGTCACTCGACCAGGAAAATAGCGCTGTTCATATTCTACAATTACATATGAATTCTAATATGGTTGCTTAAGTGGTGTTGATTTTACTTCAACTTTGTAAAACCCAAAGTCTTCATCACTATTTTCTTGTTCTAAATCAATGTCTCTAGGCTGTCACCACTTTCCACCCATTGTTCCTCAGATTCAGAATCGCTCGTCAGTAACACCTTCTGTTTAGTTTTTATTAGAGATGTACCGACTGTAGGTCTGGCCGACTAGCCGACTAGCCGATTGTTCGGCCAGTAAAAGCCGACTAGTCGGCCGACTGTTCGGCTTTGCTAAAACCGGTTTATAAATGCGACAGACAGTATGTTTTTTTTTCTATTTCTCTGACTACCTTAAAAATTTGTTTTATTTTGTGGGTATTGTTGGTGATTTAAAAGCGACGGTACGGTTTTCAGATTTTATTTCATTCTTTACTGTTCGAGAGTGCCAGGGAGAAGAAGGAAGGGTGTTTAAAATGGTACACAGGTAAGCTCGGTTTCGAAGAGGTGGAAGTAGGTAAAGAAGGAGTTTAGAAAATTCTAGAAGGGAAAAGAGAAAGTATGTATACTATCCTCAAACATATTTGGCGTTTATGACTTCACACCAATTTGACTCCCATTATAATTCAATAGGCCGTCACAACCGGATGTCTTAAACCCGCTCACCGATACCTACCTGAAAAGACCTTTTCGACGTGCCAGGGACGGTCGAGACGCGAAGGACCGGACTCAGAGTAATTTTGTTTGTTAAAATTTTCAAATTTCAAAATTTCCTTACAGAACATGATTTATACTTTGAAGAAAATTACACAAAGACACAATTATTAGAAGTGTTACACACTCGAAAATTTGAGAAACAATATAAAATAGATGCTATGGCGCGAGATCGTGGATTTAGGGTGATTAGACTTCCGCCGTACCATTGTATATTTAACCCCATCGAACTAATCTGGTCGCAAATGAAAAATAATATAAGAAGGAATAATACGGCACCAAAATTTAGTAGTGCAACAATTGACATAATTAGGGAAGAAGCTTCCAAAATAACTGCCGAAATGTGGGCCAATTGTGTACGACATTCCACAAAAGAAGAAGACCAGTACAGGGCACGGTTGATAACACCGTTAATTATTAATTTAGAAGATTCGAGTGATGATGACAGTGACTATTTCTATCAATAAATAAGCAGTAGTAGTGAATAAGTAAATAGTTGTGCTGTAATAAAAATAATTGAGTACAAAGTTACTTTGTTTTTACTTAAAATAAAAAACTCGAAAGGCGCAGTTGTCGGTAAATGCAAAACTCAGTCCTGCCCTGTGCTTTTACCAGAAAAGGTCTTTTCAGGTAGGTATCGGTGAGCGGGTTTAAGACATCCGGTTGTGACGGCCTATTGAATTATAATGGGTGTCAAATTGGTGTGAAGTAATAAACGCCAAATATGTTTGAGGATAGTATAGAAGCGTAGGGCAGGTAGCCGAAAGATCGGAAGTATTTACATTTATACAATTATTATGAACGCGCTCAGGTTGAACACCTGATTTTGTGGGAACTGTTGTTCATACAATTTTAATAACAGGAATAACTAAAGTTCCTTTGTTTTCCAAAAAATGTATTAAATTTGTTTCGATAATTTTAACATTTAATTTTTTTTAGTAACTCAGTACAAAAATAAAGAATAACACAATTTAGGGCCAGTTTATACAATACTTTAACTGCGATTAAGTTGATCGCGCATTTAACAAGGCCATTAGCGACGTCTGATTGGCGTAGAGTCGGTCACATGGTACTTTAAGGCGGGGTTAAAAATTAAATCGCAATTAAATATTCAATTGAGGTTCTGTAAACCTGGTTTAATTGTTTTATATACTATTTTAATTCTAATAAAAAAAGCCGACCGGTCGGCTGTTTAGCCGACTAGTCGCCGACTGTAGCCGACGATGAAAAATGGCCGAATAGTCGGCTTATCCGACCGGTCGGCCACTAGTCGGTACATCCCTAGTTTTTATCTTTTTCTTGTCTTTTTCAAGTTTTTTGGCTTGTCGTCCTTGACTTTTCTTTTCCTTCACTTCCACTTTTCTTTTTTTTTTCTTCTTCTTTTTGGATGATATGTTGAACACTGTCAAGTAATTCATCTTTCTTTATTGAGTAGTGCATATCAGACAAATCGAAATCGAGGCCGGAAGTGAGTTCTAGAGCTTGAAATCTACAAGAAAATGTACTCAGTTAGGTTTCGAAAGTGTCAAAATTTCGGCGAAATTTGAAGAAGGGGGGACCACTGGAAAATTTTCACTTTTAAAAAAGTCGTCTAAAAATTGCGAAAAAATTCAGGGACGTAGATCTCGACGTGCTAATTCCAAAAATATAGCCTGTTGATGGTCGCGGAGGGAGATTTTCGAAAAAATCGGTTCGAAATGCCTAATTTATCGAATTTTCAAAAATTTCGATATTTCAACCGTCGATTCTGGAAAAACGGTTGCAGCTATCAAAGAATCGAGGCCGGAAGTGAGTTCTAGAGCTCGAAATATACAAGAAAATGTGCTCAGTTAAGTTTCGAAAATGTCAAAATTTCGGCGAAATTTGAAGAAGGGGGGAACATTGGAAAATTTTCACTTTTAAAAAAGTCGTCTAAAAATTGTGAAAAAATTCAGGGACGTAGATCTCGACGTGCTGATTCCAAAAATATAGCCTGTTGATGGTCGCGGAGCGACATTTTCGAAAAAATCGGTACGAAATGCCTAATTTATAGAAATTTCAAAAATTTCGATATTTCAACTGTCGATTCTGGAAAAACGGTTGCAGCTATCAAAGAATCGAGGAAGGAAGTGAGTTCTAGAGCTCGAAATATACAAGAAAATGTGCTCAGTTAGGTTTCGAAAATGTCAAAATTTCGGCGAAATTTGAAGAAGGGGGGACCATTGGAAAATTTTCACTTTTGAAAAAGTCGTCTAAAAATTCTGAAAAAATTCAGGGACGTAGATCTCAACGTGCTGATTCCAAAAATATAGCCTGTTGATGGTCGCGGAGGGAGATTTTCGAAAAAATCGGTACGAAATGCCTAATGTATAGAAAGTTCAAAAATTTCGATATCTCAACCGTCGATTCTGGAAAAACGGTTGCAGCTATCAAAGAATCGAGGCCGGAAGTGAGTTCTAGAGCTCGAAATCTACAAGAAAATGTGCTCAGTTAGATTTCGAAAATGTAAAATTTGGCCGAAATTTGAAGAAGGGGGGCCATTGGAAAATTTTCAGTTTTGAAAAAGTCGTCTAAAAATTCTGAAAAAATTCAGGGACGTAGATCTCGACGTGCTGATTCAAAAAATATAGCCTGTTGATGGTCGCGGAGCGACATTTTCGAAAAAATCGGTACGAAATGCCTAATGTATAGAAATTTCAAAAATTTCGATATTTCAACCGTCGATTCTGGAAAAACGGTTGCAGTTATCAAAGAATCGAGGCCGGAAGTGGGTTCTAGTGCTCGAAATCTACAAGAAAATGTGCTCAGTTAGATTTCGAAAATGTAAAATTTGGCCGAAATTTGAAGAAGGGGGGCCATTGGAAAATTTTCAGTTTTGAAAAAGTCGTCTAAAAATTCTGAAAAAATTCAGGGACGTAGATCTCGACGTGCTGATTCAAAAAATATAGCCTGTTGATGGTCGCGGAGCGACATTTTCGAAAAAATCGGTACGAAATGCCTAATGTATAGAAATTTCAAAAATTTCGATATTTTAACCGTCGATTCTGGAAAAACGGTTGCAGCTATCAAAGAACCGAGGCCAGAAATGAGTTCTGGAGCTCGAAGTCTACAAGAAAATGTACTCAGTTAGGTTTCGAAAATGTCAAAATTTCGGCGAAATTTGAAGAAGGGGGGACCATTGGAAAACTTTTCACTTTTAAAAAAGTCGTCAAAAAATTCTGAAAAAATTCAGGGACGTGGATCTTGACGTGCTGATTCCAAAAATATAGCCTGTCGATGGTCGCGGAGGGAGATTTTCGAAAAAATCGGTACGAAATGCCTAATTTATAGAAATTTCAAAAATTTCGAAATTTCAATTGTCGATTCTGGAAAAACGGTTGCAGCAATCAAAGAATCGAGGCCAGAAGTGAGTTCTGGAGCTCGAAATCTACAAGAAAATATACTCAGTTAGGTTTCGAAAATGTCAAAATTTGGCCGAAATTTGAAGAAGGGGGGACCATTGGAAAATTTTCACTTTTAAAAAAGTCGTCAAAA